GAACCGGGGCCGCCGCGGTGGGAAGCCAGCGATTAACCGCTTGAGCAATGGCGCGGCCCTACCTGCCCCTTACAGTCATTGGAAGGAGAATTAGCAAGGGAGACCGAAGTACTCGGAAAAGAAAACCTGCTCCAGTGCTGCTGTGTTCACCATAAATCCCACATGACTTGAACTAGGATCGAACCCGAGCCGCCGCGGTGGGATGTCGGTGACTAACCGCCTGAGCTGTCTCACAGCCTTCCATTAACTGTTTCGTTCCTGGACTGTCTAAGTTTCAAAGTTCGTTTATAGCTGAAATAAAGCAATGATCCTAACGTCGTTTCTAAGTCCTGAGAATTAGCTTTGTACGGCATCCATAATGGATGGTTAAGTAAACTAAGTGTCAATCGTGAGAATGTTAATTTTGACGCTTAGTCTACACCGTGACGTAAGATTGTTTCTGTTTACTCGTACAAACCAGTTAATGAACACCTGGGACTCGAGGCGTTTTCAAGTTACAAGAAAGATTCCTGTCAAGTGAGTTACGTAAAAGCTTTCTCGAGAGCTGAAAAGCAAGAACGTTTTGTAGCACGGCAGTATAAGCCATTGCAAGGAGAACTAAGAACAGCTCAGCTGTAAAGTGCGTCATTTTCCTTTTTGTAAAGTTCTGATCGTGCTGAATCACAGAGAGCTCTGAACATCATTATGAGAGATGACACATATTGCCAGATGTTGTGTTGAATGACACTCCTGCTTAGTATTCCAGTCTTCACATATTCTAATAGCGTCTGTTATGTTGATTGTTCTGATGTATTCGTAACTTCCTCCGGTGCTGAACCCCACGCCATTTTCATTCACAATTTGCAGTGGCACCGCTACTTTCTTACGTGTATTTGACTGTTGGGCCCTAACCTTATGCTCTTCCTGTATAGACACGTGTCTTTAACAGCTCCTCCCCTCCTTACTTTACAGTTTGGAGTACGGTCGCTGCATTTGTCCCTGGTTCCGCCCAGATGGTGTCAAAGATTTGCTTTAGTAAGAAGAACCCCAATCTGCGAAATTCGTATTTAATAACAGTTAATAACAGTAATAGTAGCGGCTCCGGTCTAGAAAACCGAAATTAACGGCAGTGGGGATCCGTTGCGCTGACCATGCGACACCCTCTATCCCCTAAAGTTGGCACTAACTTCGCCGACAAGCGGCGGTCGCTCGGTCAGGATAGTTCGCTTGCGGACTACAGGCCACGGAACAACAATAAACAAAGTAAATAAGACACCCCATGTTAGGTGGGTCCCTTGTGTCCACGGTATGGCGCGTCCTCAATTTGCGGATAGAGGAGACGTCCTCCAGGCATGGAGGGAAGCTGCGAATATATTGAATAAGCAGTCGCGGACAGCTGACAAGGGGTGGTCCTCCAGCTTGGGCGTTGGACGTGGTGCTAGCAACTCACCATTAAAAATAAGCTTGTTACGAAAATGTACACAAAGTCTCGAACCTGGACGGATCTTCTGGATAAACGACATAGGCTAAAGAAAATGGACATGAATTCGGTACTTGAAATGTTAGAAGTAAAATGGATATTAGAGAGACAGGATGGTATGGTATGGATTGGACTGATGTGGCTCAGGATAGGTACCAGAGGAGGACTCTAGTGAATACGGTAATGAACCTTCGGCTTCCATAAAATGCTGAGAAATTCTTGAATAGCTGTACAGTTGGCAGCTCCTCAAGAAGGGCTCAGCTCCATGAGTGAGTAAATAATACACCATTACATTGGTACTTCAGATATGTATATAGATCTTTATAAACAACTGGAAGAAGGGGAAGTCGCGTGGTGCATGGAATTATGGGGTAACGGCAAACGAGTGACGACACAGTTGCCGGAGGGCGTGTGTGAAGGAGGAGAGGGTAATTGGCCGAAACAGGCAACTCATAAGCCATTAGAACATAGAAAATGGCTCAGTCTTTTAATGGGCAACTGAACGAAGTACGTGGAACTATGAGCATGGGTTACCTGTAGTCCGTATATACATGCATATAGCTAATGTGTGCAAAATCGTGTTACATGTTAAGAATTACAAATAACATGGCGACGCTGCGAAACTCCGAGATCACGTCTAAATGTGACAAATTCAACATAGTCTGAATCTGTCCCCATGGGAATTGTGCATAGACGTGGATCTCAAAATTCTAGGTCCATATTTATGCATCGAACCTTTTCATTTTGTTATAAAGTTAAAGCATCTCTACAACCGTATTTTTTTGTTATTTAAAATGGGCAGACCACCTCTGTGGCCTGGTGGTCAGAGT